AAGTTATATTAAAAATTCAAATGCCATTTACTATTAAATTAAAAACTCAAACATTTTATTAAATTAAAAATATGTGTTACCATTTAAAAAAACAAAGTTGACCCCCTTCCAAGGCATAAGGGATGAACTTAAAAAGTATTACATAGTTAAAAATTCAAGAATAATGTGTAACTAAAAATAATGAAAAAAAAAAATGTTTAAATTATTATTATTCTGTAAGTAATTGAGTGGGTTATGATAAAAAAATCACCCTGTATATATATATTGCAACATGATATTAGATCCAGCAAAAACATTACATATTTAATGTAGATAGAGTTATGTATATATATAATAATGACCAAAATATAAATTACTAAAACATAGTTTATGATAACTTTGATGACGGTAGATAAGAATATATGTACTTATGGGAAATTCGAGGAACTTGCCTTTATGTTTATTTTAGTCTACGGCATAAACTGTGTATTTTTCGTAATATTAGACAGCTGTCCGGATTAAGCGAAGTCCGAACTAATGAGGTCCGGATTAATGAGGTTCTACTGTACTACTATTCTTAGCCCATATAATATTAAATAAAATATTACGATTGTAAACCACTAGTGACTTCTGAATTTTTCTTCAACAGGATTGTTAATGAGACACATTTTTTTAATACCTTTTCCAATTTCATGATTTTAAATTTATATTAAAAATACAGAGCAAGTAGGAATATAGTTGTTTTAGGTAAAAAAAATTTGAAATAAAAAATTATAATTCGAATACTTTAATGCGCTAATCAATAAAACAAGAAAAACTGATTTTTTTTCTCAAATCGTTGCTACGATATATATATGATACAGTCAACAAATTTATTGTCTGTGCCAATCTTTCTACAATTTTAATAATCCCAAAATTTAACTAAATTAAAAATAGGATTCATAGACTCCAATATTTATTATACATATTATGTATCAACTGAGTCAATGTTCATACTTTTTTTTTTTAATTGATAAAATGTATATATTTTCAATAAAATTAATTTTAAAATGTAACAAAATAAATATAAAATGAACTGTTAAAATTTAAGAATTACTATATATTAAATATTTAAATTGATTATTAAACTAAATTAAATTAAAAAGTTCATGAAATTATATATGCTCATAGTATGTGTCTACCTCTCGGCTTTAAAATGGTCATCTTATTTATTTTACGTATATTGGGAATATTATCCTTCATCCGTTCAAATGTTATTTCGATCGTCGTTTATCACGCTGCCGCCATTATCAATTCCAAAACATTAACTTTATGGGAATTTTCAATATAGTGAGTAATTTTAAAAATCCAAAAATATCTCTAAGAAAACCTAACATTGAGTGGTCTATTTTGCCCTATCACTTCTATGTAACTCCTATGAAACCATGCTTTATATTTTCATTTAACAAGTAAACTAGATAGGTACGAGTAAAAATTAATAACAATAATAAACTTAATTTATAAATCAAATGGGCGACACAGACATATAAATGATAAATGATTAACCCTTAAGCAGGCGCGTACCTTTTTTTAACGTTCATAGTCGCGTGGGGGTCTATTAGACCTAATTTCTAAAAAAGTATAAAATATGTATAAAAAAGTTCATTTTTTTTAATTCAAAGACGTAATTTGTTACCATATGATATATAAATATGGATAACAATTAAAAAATTAAAATTAAAAAATAAATAAATGACAAAATTATGTGCATTACTAAAAACTATATTACGGAAAAAAAAACTTAATTTTCAAAATTTTATTAAAAATTTTGTTAAAAAAAATTATTTTAACTGCAAAATCTTATTTTTAAGACAGTAAATAAAAGCTTTTACTATTACAAAATGTATTTTTATTAATTTTTCTTGTATTTCTTTNCGCCCACAAGGGAAGATTTAAAATGACAACTTTTTCAAAAAAAATTAACTTTTGAAAATGTTCCGGAAGGTCTGACACTTTTAATGCTATTTTTGTGTGAAAATTTTCGATTTTGTATTTTACATTTTTAATTTTATTATGCTATAACTATTTGAAAAATGTATGGATCAATACAATTTTTTCATGAAAAGTAGTATTTATATACATCTTTCATTCGACATACTGTTTTTTAAAATTGGACCATTTCCCTATATATGAGGGGGGTTCAAATCTAAAAAATACATGTAGAAAGTAGAACTTTTTCAACTTAACTTTTGAAAGTGTTTTTCGAAAAGTCTGACACTTTTATATATATCTTAAATTAAAGCTTATGTAATATACTTTAATATTAAAAAAAATATTTCGGTCTTTATTTTGTCTTCATGGTGAAATTAGCTACGGTTTTTAACACATTTTAACACAAAAATAGCATATTTTTGAATATGCTATTTTTGTGTTAAAATTCTTCGTTTTGTGTTTTATTTTATTATAAGGGGATTAAACTGATTTTCATAAATATTATATCAATCTAATTGACATAGTATAAGAGGTTAAACATATTTAAATTTTTTTGTTTCTTTGAAGTCGAGAAAAATAACTTTAAAATTTGAACTAGCTAAATTTCCATTTTTATTAAGTGATGAATACGATGTACGGTTTCTGAGACGGTAACACTTGGTCTTTCAAGCCTGTGGCACTGAATTTTTTCTTAATTCTTTTTGAGTTAGAAAAAAATGATAAACTCATTTGATTTTTATCTCATTTAGATTCAATAACTTCAATAAATATCAAGGATCCCATTACTGTAGTATCCTCTCGTGTGAAGAAATTCATATTAATATTATTTTACTATTTGGTTTTTTTTTATAACTATCATTTATTTTCTCAGCTCTCATTTGACCTACTTTTTTGACAATTTTTTTTTTAAATTAAACACTATCTACAGATTTGCATCGAAGCGTTTTTTATGATAGTGATTTTAATCACTGTCAGATATCATCTATACTGGACCCAACTATGCCACGACCCCACTGTGCCGCCACCCCATTGTGCTGGGTTTTATTTTTATTATTTCAACCTTATTTAAAAATAAACACATTTCACTTGAAACATCAATAACTTATTTAAATTGAATATTGATAATATTATTATATTATATATATATACGCACACAAGTAATTATNATTATATTATATATATATACGCACACAAGTAATTATTTTTTAACACGCTTATATTAGTTTCACCTGTATGTATGTATGTATGTTTGTAACTCTCCAAACGCCACGCGTTAT